ACAGAAAGGATGCCAGGAGCCCCTGGGACAATGGGTCAGTTCCCTCACTTTCCTGGTGAAAGGAAAAAGCTGCTTTAATTGCCAACATTTTTTTTTTCACAGCAGTCTTTAGAGGAAGACCCTTGGCAATCCATACTTTGAAGATTTATCCATGGCAGTTACCAACTCTACTTTTATATATTTGAAATAAAAATAGCTCAGCAGCAATTTGCTTCTTTTTTACCTCTTGTTTTAAAACTCATTTCTCTCATACCTTTGAAGTGCAGAGAACTCTCTTAGTCACTAGCCTTTCTGAATGGCAAAATGTTAATCATAAGAATTTATTTTCTGTGCTAACAAGTGTTTTCCTTAGAGAGCATTTCCTTTTTTATTTTTATCATTTAGACTGAACTTTTAAAAAAGATATAAATTAAATCAGATTGTTGAGAAATTTCCCTGGGGAACAGTGTCTTCATCTATAAGATCCTCCTGATCTCTGAAATGCTCAGAGCTATGGTTCCTACAGAAAGAAAAAATACTTAACACTAAAAACATTAAGCCAGAGAGCATTTTCTTCTAAGGAGATTTTGTTCCAGTAATATAAGGTGCAAGTAATAATAATAAAGTAAAATTTTTTTTAAAATCCCATGCACGTTCAGGAAGGTCTCCTTTCTTCCCAAAGTTTCTGCAATTGTGTAGTAAACATTCTGGGTGTTTCTGCAGAGCTCTGATCAGCAGATTTGATATATGGATTTAGATCAATTTTTTCTTATGGCAAATCTATATGTTATTCTTTGTCTTCATTTGGTGCTATTTGCTGAGTGGCTGTTACTCAGGGGCAAAGGTCACTTTCTAGCAGTGGAAGCAGCCGGGTAATCTTTTACTCCTCATGAGAGGAGTATGTGATATTAAATCACACTTGACATACCTGAGGCACAGCAACTTCATCCATATTTTATCTGGTGTAAATTTAATACCACAGCACTTTTTAGGGTGATGTATTTATTAACTGGCTGGGGATGAGCTGTACAGAAATCCAGTTTGTTCAGGAAAATAAAATGAAGTCAGTCTGACAAGTTTATGAAATAAGCACAATAGCTATTTATTACTTTTTAAACACAGTTTGTTGAAATATCTTTAGCAGTGTTTGTTCAATAAATGCATAACACTTTCTAAATCATCTAAGGAGTTTTTTTTTTCTTTGAATGTTAATAATTTTTTCCCTTTAAAGAAATCTTCTGGCCTTCACTTACTGTGGCGTGGTTTCAGATGACTTACCAGGTACTCTTTAGGGAAGGAACCACATCTTTGTTCTGCATGTGGAATTGTGGGAAATTAAATCACATTTAGACTTGTTATAGCCAGTCTTCTGGCTATAAAACAGTTGACAAACTACTTCAGAGTGACAGTTGCCAAGACCTTGGCTTCTCTCAATTACTTTGCTTACCTTTACTTTCTCCTTTCTTTCCTTCCTTTTTTTCTTTTTTTAAAAAATTCTTGTGTTTCATAGCACTTGTGCTCCAAAGTCCTTATTTTACCTACAGATAAATCACAGGCCTTGCTCGTGTGATCCACAGGCTGGCCCCACTGCCCTTTCTCTGTCTGCTGTCATGTGATGTCAGCTATTTATTGAAAGGTAGAATGAGGTCTGGTCCATTTATTTCTGTAATCATTAAGTCTGATAAAACCTTCTTTTCCTTTCCTTTCTTAAAAGATAAAATCTTGAGAACCTGGGCTGAGCCTAACCTCTGTAAGTTCAAGTTGAGTAGGGACAGCATTTCTGCAGTTATAATGGCTTCCTTCCTGTTTTCATTTTTAGATCATTTTCATTGGTACGTTTTGGCTTTCAGTCAATTTAATTAGCAACATGCAGCCCATATCTCTAAAAAAATCAAGAGGACTCTATACTTTACCCTTGGTGTTAAGTTCAAGTGTCCTAATTCCACAAAATGGAACTAGAGCAGTGGTTCTCAAACTGTTTCAGACCTGAAGCAGCAGACCCTGGGAACTTGGTGGCCACACAAAGTCTCTGGCCCACCACTGAACCAGAACTCTGGGGACATGTGATGAAGGGTGATAAGCAGCCCATGTTTTAACTAGCCCTCCATGTGTTCTGGATACCAGTTCAAATTTGAGAATCACTGGACTAAAGTCTTTATGAACTGCAAACTCATGACCCATTTGCAATATTAGTGTTTTTACTTTGCCCCTCTCTGCTATATCTAATGCTTCTGGGAGGATCTGCCACTTGGTGATCCTCAGAGTGAGCACAGATTTGGCTACATTAAAAAATACTCTTCTGCCCTGGCTGGTGTAGCTCAGTGGATTGAGTACGGGCTGCGAACCAAAGCATCGCAGGTTCGATTCCCAATCAGGGCACATGCCTGGGTTGTGGGCCACGCCCCCAGTGGGGGCTGCATGAGAGGCAACCACACATTGATGTTTCTCTCTTGCTCTCTCTTTCTCTCTCCCTTCCCGTTTCTAAAAATAAATAAACAAAATCTTTAAAAAAAATCTAACAAACAAAAAAAAATAGCCTCGGCCTTTAAAAAAAGAAAAGAAACACTGTTCTGACAAAGTATATTCCAGTGGCAGATACAGATACTGTTTTGAATTACACAAGATATTAAGAATCATCTCTTAGCATGGCTTATTGAAGGATGACTCATTCTTGCTTTAGGAAGAAGGGCAAGGGCAACAGAACTAACTTTTTTTTTGAGAAAAAGAAAACTGATACTAATAAATCTCTTTAAAAATTAACTCTTACAATATTTGAATAATGTGGTGATATACTTATTTGTGTTCCTTTGGCCTTCATAAGTAACTCACTCCTATGAATTAGATCTGGATATTTTCAGGAAACATTTCAATTAAATTGAGAAAGCACTGTTTATTTTTTCCTGTGGTATGATTTTAAAATATGTACACAAAACATAAAGATAGGGGGCACTTCTCCTTGGCCAAGTGTGGCTCAGTTGGTTGGAGCGTGGTCCCATAAACTGCAAGGTCATGGGTTTGATTCTCAGTCAGGGCATATGCCTGGGTTGTGGGTGTAGTCCAGCAGTCAGGGCATGTCCCAGAAACAACTGATCGATGTTTCTCTTCCTCTCTTTCCAAAATCAATAAGCATGTCCTTGGGTGAGGATAAAAAGAATAAAAGATAGAGGACAACTGAAATCTATCTTTTCATCGTCTTTTAACATAAATTAGCTCTTTTTTTACCTTCCTGAGTGCATCATTCCAAGATGCGTTTTAATTCTTTCCTTGGTGTTTTTCTTCTTTGCAGCTGTGCAAGATGCAGATCTCCAGGTCATGCTTTGCCTCTGAAAGAATGCATCAAACTGAGTTGTCAGAACATGAGCTTTGGGTTCTACATTGAGGAAGTTGATTGCATAATAGTTGATATGTTAAGAAAATAGGGTTATTATAGCATTGGAAATCCACGAAAAGAACTTGAATTCTCCTCCAAAATCTTGGGATGCATTTGTGGTTCACAATTTAGAGCTTAAGTGGAAACACAATCTGATGTCTGACCTGAATTGTTTCTTTTCATGAGAAAATGTGTTACATATAAGAAGGTCACATCCAATGAAAGTAAGCGCACTGTGATATTGACTGGAGAAAAATAAAATGAATTTCCAAAGCCTAAACCTTTGAATTCTCTTAGTCCCTTTCACTCCAGGCTAACAGCAAAACATTCATTTAAAAAATTCTGAAAGCATTTAAGGGTATACATATGATAATATCTTTATAATCCCAAGGTTCAGCAGCTAAAAACAGAAGAAAAAATCTACTTGAATAGTTAACCTATTATATAAAGTGGTGTGGTTTTTCAAGCAGCTGATTGTGACCCAACTGTGGCTCATAAAATCAATTTTGATGGCTATGATCTGCATTAAAAATATGAAATTAAATGGACAAACTAGACTAAGACTAAAATAGAATAAAGTGGAAAATAATAATATATTACAGTATATAATGAGGCTAAGTATTATTTGGGGGAAACTTGTTTCAGTATAGCATGTGTATGTCTTGATAAAAAAACTGATGATAGAGTGTTGAATATTTATAGTTAGTGGCTTTTATTATTACTGTGGTATGTCTGGCATTCTCCTACTTGCAACAAAAACAAAACAATAATAAAATCTCCCCAAATAACTTGATACTAGAGGTTGTTGAAAGAAGACAGGAGCAGCTAGGCAGTGTTAAAGCATCAAACTTAAAGCACTCTTTGAATACCTTGATTCATTCATTTATTCATATATACTTAGGAAAATGAGTAAATTAATAAATTTCTCTGTTCCTCAATTTTCTTATTTGTAAAATGCCACTGACAATAGAACCTATGTATTAAGTTATTGTATTAAATGAATTAATACATTGAAAGTACTTAAATACTATAAGTAGCATATAAGTGTTAGTTATTAATATAAATATGACCTGTATTTAATATATGCCTGCTATGTATAACGCATACTACTAGGGTCATGGGGAATTCAAAATGATTATCCATTTTTATCTATGACCCTTCATAGAAGGAGCCTTTAGATCAAGCTTCTATGCAATGCCTTTGGGAATAAGTAAAAATGAAAGCGATGCCATCTATGTTTGTCTATTTAAGAAGTATGTTTATGTGTATCTGTTCTGAGAAAAAGAAAGCAAAGGAATAGTCAAGACTCTGGACTTGAGGTCCCAGTGGAGTGGAGGAATGTTAAGAACATGAGACCCTCATCAAGCTGTGTGACCTTCACCAAGACTCTTCACCTTGCAGAATGATCCTCATTTGTGCATTAATATCTGGGCTATGATATCCAAGATCCTTTCTATTATTGACTGAACTCTGTTCCCCTAAATTCACATTATGAAGTCCTCACTCCAGTGTGACTATATTTGGAGATAAGACTTTTAGGAAGTAAGCTTAAATGAGGGGTGTGGGGAGGGAGGGGTGATAGGTGTTCCTATAAAGGGAAATAAAGCTTTATGATCTTTCTACATCTCTCAATCTTTCTGTTTTTCTCCAGGCCCACAGAGAAAGGCTGTGTGAGGACACAGTGAATTGGCAACCATCTGAAAGCCAGGTAGAGAGATATCAAAGAGGATCAAATCCGTTGGAACCTTGATCTTGGATGTCTCTCCTTTAAAACTGTGAGAAAATAAAATTTTGTTGTTTAAGGCACCAGGTTGTGGTATTTTGTATGGTAGCCTGAGCTGACTAAGATAACTCCTGACTCCAAAGTTTTAAAGGTGGCTGCGAGAGTGTGCAGTCTGGCCCATTGCCTCCCTCTCCCTTTCCTTGATCTCATTCCATGACTTGAGAATCTTCTCTCTGGAATGATAGTCTGTCCAAAAACACAGGCATAGACCCTTGTTCTAGCAGAAATAAATCACTCTTGAATAGTTCTCTTACTAACTTCCTAATCCCAACACCTTCTTCTAATTAATTGTTAAAGTCAAGGCTTTAGGGAAACAAAAATCTGGTTTTCCCACAAAAGAACTGACTGAGAAGGATTTCAATGTACTATATACATACTTATAGCTCTCCGGACAAAACAGTGCCTATACTGGGTTTTACAGTGTCTTCCCAATTTCATGTTTACCTGGAATATTATGAATGTCATCTTATTTGGAAATTGGGTCTTGGCAGATATAATCAAATTATCATGAGATCATACTGGATTAGGGTAGGCCCAAAATCTAATTTATAGGAAGAAGGAAATTTGGTGACAGACAAGCAGGGAAGAATGCCAAGTGAAAATGGAAAGAGAGCTGGAACAATGTGTTTAAAGCTGAGGAACATGAAGGATTCCTGGCAACCAGAAAGTAGAAGAAGCAGGGAAGGATTCTTCCCAGAGCTTGAAGGGAAGCATGGCTTTGCCAACACCATGATTTTGGGCTTCTTGCTACCAGAACCATGAGAGAATAAGTTTCTGTATTTTTAAATTATTCAGTTTGTAATAATTTGCTACAATGGTGCTAGGAAACTAATACATTGCTCAAGAATAAAACAAACCACAAATGCAAATCGTTTATATTTTGTAACAATATATAAAATTTGGTATAAATCAATTGCCTCCCTCATTGCAGCAATTCCCAAACAACACCATATAAACAATGACTGAAGTTTAGAACAGTATAATAAAGGATAAAAATGCATGGATATTTGTTGGGATCCGCTGTGCCTGGTTTCAGGAGCTGTAACCCCCCCCCCCCCCATGACTAAGTCTGAGTGAGACACCTCTGAACCAGAAGCCACTTAAGAGACAAGCTTATCTCCCTGGCAGGAGCGCTGTTTCTGGTTCTTGTCTGGCCCCCATTGCTTGGTGGGTTAGCCAATGATGGTTAAGGCTCCTCAGAGGAGGATGGACCTAAGACAGGCATGATCACATGCGAAGGCCCTTAGGGAAGGACTTGGGGGGCTGTGGAAAATGGGGGTGATCGACCCTTGCCCCTTGGCTTTGACAAAGCCTGAGTCCTCATTCTGCCTGTGAGGAGTCTCAAACCTCTCAGCTGCCTTGTCTCCTCTGCCTGACTCAAGCCTGTAACAATGACAAGGGGTGTTGCAACCCTACACTGGGGACAGCAGACTTCCAGGGGTGATGAGGCCTGAAAAAGGGATATGTAAAATCCCGTGAAACCTGCTTTGCTGAGGATGCTCTTAATTAGATTATGAAGGCCTGGGCAGGAAATGAATTTAGCCCCTTAAGTTCTATAGTCTTTTAGGTGATAAGACCCCAACTCAGTATGATCCCTTTTTAGCTCTTTGAATGTTATTTATTTGTTTGATCCTTACTGCCTGACAATGATTAATGAACTTTACCTGTATTCCTGGGCAAATTAAAAGCCAATAAAAAACCCTGTGAAGGAAGGATTGGGGCGCTCTCCTTTGAGAGAGTGGCCAGGCCACTCTGAGGCACTCTCCCTCTCCCCTTGAGAGGGTAGCTGTGCCATCCCTTTTCCTCCACATAGGACTCGGTAGTCCATGTGCATGTCTCATGTCTCATCCATTATGCCACAGACACTGCAGGCTGGTGTCCCAGTCAGATATTTCTTTTATAAATATCTATTGCTTATCAACTATGTGTTAAGCAATATACTAAAATTACATTCTGTATGCACAGTAGGCCTAGAAAAGTCTGGGAACTTGTTTCAGCATTCTTTTCCATGAGACAGAGCAGCTCAGCTCTTCTCAATCTATACCACTAAACTGAGGGAGAGTCAGACTGCATTTGTTAAAGGAGTGACCACTGCAACAGTTAGAGGAGGAGGAGATGTGGATAAAACCATGGAATGAAAGGCCTCAAGTTTTGCTTTGTATATTAGATTTCCTCATGCCATTTTCAGGTGTTTCTCATACTTTTCTTATTTTCTCCTCTAAGAAAGCAGAAGTCCAGAGCTTATTTACCTATCCCTGAGGCTCTGGATGAGGTGTTGGGGATTCAGGGCTGCAGCAGACAACCTTTTTTGTTGAGATAGCATGCCAGGCCAAGTGGATGAGATAGCATGGAAATTAAAAAGAAAAAAAGCAATAGAGTACAAAATGTGGAACACAAATACACCCAGAAAAGAGCCAGTAGTCATCCCTGTAGGAGGCCTGTGAGCTGATCATCGCCTGTGAGCAGCAGTGCAAGAAGGGAAGAAGGGGGAAGGATTTTGAAGAATGGGAAGCAGTGAGAACAACATCATCCTGCCTGCAATAGGGTGTCAGACCCTGATCAAGCTTGATGAAGTGGGTAGGAAGGGAACAGCGAACGTAGGCTGCAAGGCAGGAGATGTTGGGGGGTGAGATTGGTGAGATGAAGTGGAGCTAGTTCATGAGTTTATTCCTTACACTAAGCCCATTGGAATGAAAGGAGAAGTTCAACACCATTGTCTTTTACAAAGGTGACTTTTGCAGGAAGTTGAAGAGTTGTGTGATGACGGAGGCAGAAGGACCTCAAAGAAAACTACTTCCTTTGTCTACAGTTACTGAGGTTCAGGTCTGACATTATGTGGAAGAACATTGACATTAGGCATAAGCTGAATTTTTATAATCATTTTATTTTCTTTTAAAATCACACTTCTTAGAAGAGTTGATTTTTGAGAATATATGTGGAATAACTTAGTAAGAAAGCTGCTGACATTGCCTATTTCTTTAGTGCTTTACGTGCTCTCATCTGGTCCCTAGCCATGCCCTGAAAGACCAAAGGGGACACTACAGTTCAGAGTACAAAGTTTAGTTGAGTGAGTTTTTTTTTGTTTGTTTCTTAATTTTTAAATTTCTATCTGCCCAATCTCTTTTGTCAACCATCAACTTGTTCTTTAAATTTATAGGTCTGTTTCTGTTTTGATTTGTTTGTTTAATTATTTATTTAGATTCCACAGTGAGGTCATATGATATTTGTGTTTCGGTGACTTATTCCCCTAGCATAATACCTTCTAGGTCCATCCATGTTGTATCAAATAGCAGGAATTCACTCTTTTTTTTTTTAACGGCTGAGTCATATTAAGTGTGTGTGTGTGTGTAACAGCTTTTTTATCTACTTATTGACTGATGGACACTTAAGTTGCTTCCATATCTGGGCTGTTAGAAATAATGCTGCTATGAACATAGGGGTGTATATATCTTTCTAAATTAGTGCTTTTGTTTTCTTCAGATAGATACATAGAAGTGGATTTGCTGTATGTTTACTTCTTTGAAGAATCTCCATACTGTTTTCCACAGTGGCTGCACTAATTTACAATCCCACCAACTGTATGCTAGGGTTCCTTTTTCTCCATATCCTCACCAACAACTGTCGTTTGTTGATTTATTGGTAGTAACCATTCTTATGGATGTGAGGTGATATTTCATTGTGTTTTTAACTTGCATTTCTCTGATGATTAATGACATTGAGCATCTTTTCATATGTCTATTAGCCACCTTGGGAGAAAGGTCTATTCACGTCCTTTGCCCCTTTTTCAAATTGAATTATTTGCTGTTTTGGTGTTAAGTTTTATGAGTTCTTCCTAAATTTTGGATATTAGCCCCTTATCAGTTGTATCATCTGCAAATATTTTCTCCCATTTGGTAGATGTCTTTTTATTTTGTTGATAGTTTTCTTTGCTGTGCAAATGGGTAGTTGAGTATTTTGCAGTGAGGGCTGACTTAGGCATCTAAGGGCTCCATGTCCACACCAGCCTTCTTTGTTGTGTATTTCTTGGGAGACCTACATTATAATCACTTAGTGCTCTGCTTTAGAATTGGGGACACCACCTTGTACTTATTGAATAAAATCCTATGGAGGGAAGGCCTGGACGCCTGCATTCTATCAGCCAGCAAAGGTGACTTTTCAGGTTCACAGAGGTTTGCATGTCACTGATCTGCACTTTGTGTGGAGTGACATGGAGGGGAAGTAGGGACAAAACCACCTTTGTGTGTTTCCTAAAGTTCAGATCCTTGTCTACATCATGAAAAATCAAGGGGTAAAGTCATTTTCATTTCTATACAGGAGGATTTGAGAGAGGAACAGGAAGGTGAGAGGGAAACAAGACCAAAGGAAGTAGTAAAGGGGAAAAATCTATAAGATGAGAAAGGCAAATGAAGCAAAGAAATGACATGAATGAGCAATTGAAGTGGCAGGAGAAGAATGTTATAGGGCCTCTCTCAAAGCAGAGGAAAAGAAGATCAAATATTTTACCTTCATCAGCTTTCCTTTTTCTTATATGAGCCCCCACCATTCTTTCACTTTTGGCCTCCTTTACTTAATTGAAGATTCTGAGGGTGCAGAAAAATTCATATGCTGTGGGAAAAGTGAGAGGGAGAACTATGTCAGAAAGGATTTGTGCTTTTCATTTTGTATAAAATGACAATAATAAGGATAAACTCCTCTCCCTGTTTACCCAAACAAAATAGCACAAAATTGAATCAACTGGCACCATTTTAATTACTTTATGATTCAACTCAAATTAGAGAATTAGATTCTCTTGTCCACTTTGAAAAACCTCTTCAGCTGATTTTGATTTTGATGTGCATCCCTACTTAATAATCTCTGGGCCAAATAATACTGAGGGTCCTTTTAAACTCTGACAAATGATTTTTACACAGTATTGTTAGTACCAATGTCACAGGTGTGCAGGAAGGAATTTCAACCTGCTGCAGGATCTAAAATAGGAGGCTTCAGGGTTTTCTAGTATGTAGGTCAATGTTTT